GCCTGCGGGTATACCATGGCGGCTGCTGCTGCAGCTGCTGAAGTTGCGTCTAAACCTTCTTGCACACCTGGTTCTTCTGAGCCTGAGTCTGGCTGTCCTTCTGTTCCTGGTGTTCAACCTCCTGCACCGCTTCCTGCTGCTGTTCCTTCTACTTCTCTACATGCCGGCGGTAAAGATTGTACTTCAGAGATGACTGGTCCTCCGTGTTCTAGTAGCGATAGTGTACCTGATGGTGCTCGTACTGATGATTGTGTGACATCTTCTGAGAAGAAGAGTTGCCCTAACAAAGATGGTGAAACTCAAGAGAATTGCCGTAACGATTCAGGTGATGCCTGTACAGGAACACCAAAAGCACCTGCTTCTGAACAGCCTGTTAAGGGTCCTGGTGAAATTGGTGGTCAAAATCCGCAAGACCGTCACGATGAAAATAGTATGCCTGGTGCTGACGGTCATAGTGATAGTGCTGCCGGTAAAAATAGAGAAACTGCTTCTGCTGCGGGTACTGGTGGAGTTGCTGATGGTCGTACTTCCACTTCTGAAACTTCTATGCCTCCTGCTGTTCCTTCTCCTTCTACTGCAGGAAACACTACTGTTCCTTCAGATAATCCTCAACATGCAAACAATGAAGCAAGTGAAGGTGCACCATCACCAACTACACCTTCTTCCAGCAGTTCAGCCACAGCAAGTGATGGTGGTTCAAATACTGCATCAACTGAGAATGATAATACATCTTCAGGGAGTGAGTCAACAACGAATACTGCCAATACAACCAATAATGAGGAATCAACTACTACCACCACCACAACAACAACAACACTTCCTCCTGAACTCACAAACAACAAGAAGGGTGATGCAGACAGCAGCAGCAGTATCAGCAGTTCTGTGTGGGTGCGTGTGCCCCTACTGATTGTGGTTACACTGGCCTGTATTCTTGTGTGCTGATTGATTGTAATGATGGTGTGACTCAGGTCATCCTTTGTTTTCTTTTCTTCTTTTTTGCATGTAATCCCTACAGTCTAACTAATCTTTTACCTGTTGGGAGTTTCTTCTTTTTTGTTTGTTAATGTTTTTTGTGTGTGTTTACTCTCTCTGTGTTTATCCTATAATAATTATTATTGCTACTCCATTGTGTGTGTGTGTGTTCTTGGAGACTCTCTTTGTGTGCCTGTGCTTGCACTGTGATGATAATGAATTGCTTTTTTGCAAGGGGAAAAGGAAGAAATAATAATAACAGATGAATTTATAATTGCGTCTGCCTTGTAATTCTGATGGTCGTTCTCTTCAATTTCTTTTTTTTTCATCTGAGAGGCTCATTGGGATTTTGTGCTTGTTGATAGGTATTGTTTGCTTTGTTTCTTTAATCGAACTCGATATGAGTGATGGTTGAATGTTTGTGTTATGTCTTGTGTTTCTTTCTTTTTTTTTCTTTCTTGTTTGATTTGGTGTGTGTTTCCATTTTTTTTTCATTGATTCTTTTTGTTTCTGTTTTTCTATCTGATTTATTTTTCTGTAAGCGATTGAAGTAAGACTACTACAAGAAGTATTGCAATGGTAATGATGCGCTACGTGCTGTGTAGTTTGGTTCTTGTACTGTATTGCGTTTGTGGATCTGTGCTTGCCGTTGAAGGTGGAGTTGTTCAGGTTACTGGGGCACATGTTGGTCCAAGTGCTTTGCAGGCTGGGGCTGATCCTGGGCAAGAAGAATTGCCGACAATAACAAATGGAGAGTGTACTGGTGATCAAAAGGAAAAGGAGTCTTGCACAACACAACTCTCAGAGGCTTCGCATCAAAAAGATGACGAAAAGAGACGCCAAGAAACTTCCGTCACTAAACATACGCAAACCACATCATCACTGGGACATGATCACTCCTCTCCTTCTGATCGTGCTGATCCCTTGACAGAAGAGCAGAGGAAAGAAACTGAAGATGCGAGTATAAATAAAGGGACAGGTGGGCCGACTGGGAGAAATGAGGAAACCAAAGAAACCGAGAACCAACAAAAAGGAAGTGGCACCTTACCTCATTCTACAAGTCAAGAGAAAGAAAGCACACAGAGGATTGTCGGGGAAAATGGTAGGCAAGGTGGAAACGATCCAGCCAGCAATAATGGACATTATCAAGAAGGTCATCTCGCACAATCTTCATCCTCTGAAAACAGCACAAATGGACCTTCTTCCGGTACTCCAGCCACAACTACTGCTGGACACTCAGAAACCACAAGGGCGGGGAATGACACTACAGCGGCAGGGAGTGAGCCTTCAAATAACACCGAGGATGGAGGAAATGCAGAGACATCATCAAATAACTCAGCTAGTACGTACTCTAACACTTCCAATACAGCCAATAATAATGAAGAATCAACCACCACCACTACTACCACAACAACAACAACACTTCCTCCTGAACTCACAAACAACAAGAAGGGTGATGCAGACAGCAGCAGCAGTATCAGCAGTTCTGTGTGGGTGCGTGTACCACTACTGATTGTGGTTACACTGGC